TAATAATAATAATAATAATAATAATAATAATAATAATAATAATAAGATTGGAAGAGACCTTGGAGGTCATCTAGTCCAACCCCCTGTTCAGGCAGGAAACCCTATACCATTTCAGACAAGGTTGAAGAAAGAAAATACAAATGGGAGAAGGAAAGATCAAAGAAATGTGTTATTAATATATTAATTATGGAATTATCAAATTTAATCATTATTGACTATTAATTAATTATTACTGTCCTTTTTTTCTTGTTAAAATATAAACCAAGAAAACACGCTGTACACCAGGCACTGGAGATTGTTATAGTTAAAAACCAATAAAATATCTATTTAAAAAAAAGTTGGAAAGGACCTTGGAGGTCATCTAATCCAACCTCCTGTTTAGGCAGGAAACACTGTACCGTTTCAGACAAATGGCTGTCCAGTCTCTTCTTAAAAACTTCCAGTGTTGGAGCATTCATAACTTCTGGAGGCAGGTTGTTCCAATGGTTAATTGTTCTCACTGTCAGGAAGTTTCTCCTTAGTTCTAGGTTGCTTCTATACTACTACTACTACTACTACTACTACTACTACTACTACTACTACTACTATTAATAATAATAATAATAATAATAATAATAATAATAATAATAATAATAATAATAATAATAATAATAAAGTTGGAAGGAGATTGTTATAGTTAAAAACCAATAAAATATCTATTTAAAAAAAAGTTGGAAGGGACCTTGGAGGTCATCTAATCCAACCTCCTGTTTAGGCAGGAAACACTGTACCCTTTCAGACAAATGGCTGTCCAGTCTCTTCTTGAAAACTTCTAGTGTTGGAGCATTCACTGCTTCTGGAGGCAGGTAGTTCCACTGGTTAATTGTTCTCACTGTCAGGAAGTTTCTCCTTAGTTCTAGGTTGCTTCTCTCCTTGATCAGTTTCCACCCGTTGCTTCTCGTCCTGCCTTCAGGCACTTTGGAGAATAGCTTGACTCCCTCTTCTTTGGAGCAGCCCCTGAGATACTGGAAGACTGCTATCATGTCTCCCCTCGTCCTTCTCTTCATTAAACTGGACAGACCCAATTCCAGCAGCCTTTCCTTATATGTTTTAGCCTCCAGTCCCCTGATCCTCTTTGTTGCTCTTCTCTGTACTCTTTCTAAAGTCTCAATATCTTTTTTACATCGCGGTGACCAAAACTGGATAAAGTATTCCAAGTGTGGCCTTACCAAGGCCTTGTAAAGTGGTATTAACACTTCACCTGATCTTGATTCTATCCCTCTGTTAATGCAGCCTAGCACTGTGTTGGTCTTTTTGGCAGCTGCAGCACACGGCTGGCTCCTATTTAAGTGATCGTCCACTAGGACTCCGAGATCCCTCTCACAGTTGCTACTATTGAGCAAGGTCCTCTACTTACCACCATTCTTTTAGTGACTGTTCAGAAATACAACTGTAGTGGAAAAAAAGCGACTTCGTACAATCAGTCCTCGCACATACGACCACTGCAGTATCCCTAAGGTCCCGCGATCAAAATCTAGCCACTTGACCTTCCGTGTGTATTTATAGCAGTTGCAGGATTCCAGGGTCACCCGATGGCCGTTTCTGACCTTCCCAGACAGCTCCTGACCAGCAGCGGTGAGTGGAGGAAGCCGGACTCGCTTAACGACCGTGTATGCACTTAATAACCACCAAGATTCGCTTAAGAATTGTGACATAAAAAAAGTCAGAAATCCGGGCGCGATTCAGTGAACAGCCATCTGGCTTGGCGATGGAAATTCAGACCTCCCCCCCTCAATTGTGGTCGTAGGTTGAGGACTACCTGTATTGCTTAGTGACCACCCCCACTGGGTATCTCAAGGGTGTATCCGAGGAGAATACAAGCAGACCTCGACTTACGACGGTTCATTTAGTGACCATTCAAAGTTACAACGGCACTGAAAAAAAGGGACTCAGGACCGTGTTTCACACTTACGGCCATTTCGGCATCCCCCACAGTCACGTGATCAAAATTGGGACACTTGGCAACTGTCTCATATTTACGACGGTTGCGGTGTCCCGGGCTCAGGCAATCCCCTTTGGCGACCTTCTGACAAACAAAGTCAGTGGGGGAAGCCGGATTCACTTAATGACCGGGTTACTGACTTATCAACTGCCATGTTTCACTTAACAACTGTGGCAAGGGACGTCGTAAAACGGGGCAAAACTCACTTAACAAACGCCTCACTTAACAACAGAAAGGTTGGGCGCAGGCGGGGCCTTCTCCATCAGCTTTAATCTGTTTTTCTGCATCTTTTTCCTTCCTTCCTTCCTTTCTTCCTTCCTTCCTTCCTTTCTCCTTCCTTTCTTTTTTAGCCACAGCTGAGCTTCTCTCCAAAAAAAGCTTGAGTGCCTCGACTGAAGAGCTCTTAGCCACCCTGCAGAGCCAGATCGAGTCCCTGACCCAGAAGAACAAGAAATTAATGGAGAAAATACAGGTAAATCACAGCTTTGTTCACCCTGGGCATTTACTCCCCTGTTTGTGGAGAAAGATTGCTTGAGTTAACCAACTCTAAAGTACAGGTAATACTTGACTTACCGCAGTTCGTTTAGTGACCGTTCAAAGTTACAACGGCACTAAAAAAATGACATAACCATTTTTTTACTCTTTACAATCATTGCAGCCTCCCTGTGGTCACGTGGTCAAAATTCTGACAGCAATAGCAGCACTCAGACTTATACACCGCTTCACAGTGCTTTACAGCCCTCCCTAAGCAGTTTACAGAGTCAGCCTCGGAGGGAAGGCTGAGTCAACGTTGAGCCGGTTAGGATCGAACTGCTGGCAGGCAGGCAGGCAGGCAGGCAGAAAGGAAGGAAGGAAGGAAGGAAGGAAGGAAGGAAGGAAGGAAGGAAGGAAGGGCAATAGCAATAGCACTTAGACTTATACACCGCTTCACAGTGCTTTACACCCTTCTCTAAGCAGTTTACAGAGTCAGCCTATTGCTCCAAGAATCTGGGTCCTCATTTTACTGACCTGGGAAGGATGGAAGGCTGAGTCCACCTTGAGCCGGTCAGGATCGAACTGCTGGCAGTTGGCAGAGTTAGCCTGCAATACCACATTCTAACCACTGCACCATAATGGGAATAGAATAGAATAGAATAGAATAGAATAGAATAGAATAGCAGAATAGAATAGAATAGAAATACAGAATAAAAATACAGAATAGAATAGAATAGAACAGAATAGCAGAATAGAATAGAAATACAGAATAGAATAGAATAGAATAGAAATACAGAATAGAAATACAGAATAGAATAGAATAATAGAATAGCAGAATAGAATAGAAATACAGAATAGAAATACAGAATAGAATAGAATAGAATAGAATAGCAGAATAGAATAGAAATACAGATTAGAAATACAGAATAGAATAGAATAGCAGAATAGAATAGAATAGAAATACAGAATAGAATATAATAGAATAGAATAGCAGAATAGAATAGAAATACAGAATAGAAATACAGAATAGAATAGAATAGAATAGAATAGAATAGAATAGAATAGCAGAATAGAATAGAAATACAGAATAGAAATACAGAATAGAATAGAATAGAATAGAATAGAATAGAAGAGAAGAGAAGAGAAGAGAAGAGAAGATTCTTTATTGGCCAAGTGTGGACCCACAAGGAATTAGTCTCCGGTGCAGAAGCTCTTAGTGTACATACAAGCAGCAATCATGATCACAATCATAAAATACAATCCCATAAATCATAAGATACGACACTCAGTGATAGCCATTAAGATACTAAATAAAATCCCCCGATACAAATCATAAAATACAAGCAGCAAAGTGACACTCATAAGAGGCTAAAGGGAACAGGGAATAGGAAAAGATGAGAAGGATAATAGTGACACAGCCCTACTACCTGGCTTGACACCCTAGGGCAGAAGGCAGTGTTGTGGGAATTAAGTTGTTGAGCAGAGTGCAAACGAATTGTGTGTGCAACTTGATACTGCAACTGATTGTGGCTGGTTGAAGATTTGCCACCCACCACAACAAAATAGCTGGCTCCCAATAACTAACCACTAATCACCCCCACCATGTGGCTGTTGTGGGTTGAGAAATTCTGCCAGAGAGCATCCACACAATCTGGTTTCCTGTGGTGGAGATATTTTTGCAGATTGAAGAGCAGCTGTAGAATATTTTTAATCCATCTATACAAGCAGAGCCTAATCGGAGGCGGAGGAGAGACAGAATCGCCAGACTGAGCTTCACAAAGAGAAAAGGGTCAAGAACCACATCAGAAATCAGGACCGGAAATAACAGACAGGCAGTCCTCAACTTACGACCGCAATTGAGCCCCACATTTCCGTTGCTAAGTGAGAGTTGTGAAGTGAGTCCTGCCCCGTTTTACGATTTTTTTTGCCCCAGTTGCTAAGCAAATCCCTGCGGTTGTTAAGTGAACCACACGGACGTTAAGTGAATCTCGCTTCCCCCGTTGACTTGGTTTGCCTGGGAAGGTCGCCAAAGGGGATCACGTGACCCCGGGACACTGCAACTGTGCAGACGACACCAAGCTGGCAGGAATAGCCAACACTCCAGAAGACAGGCTTAGGATACAGGAGGATCTGTACAGACTTGAACACTGGGCACTATCTAACAAAATGAGATTCAATGGTGAAAAAAGCAAGGTTCTACATTTAGGCAAGAAAAAACTAATGTACAGGTATAGTATAGGGGGTACCTTGCTCAATAGTAGTAACTGTGAGAGGGATCTCGGAGTCCTAGTGGACAATCCCTTAAATAGGAGCCAGCCGTGTGCTGCAGCTGCCAAAAAAGCCAACACAGTGCTAGGCTGCATTAACAGAGGGAGAGAATCAAGATCAGGTGAAGTGTTAATACCACTTTACAAGGCCTTGGTAAGGCCACACTTGGAATACTGCATCCAGTTTTGGTCACCACGATGTAAAAAAGATGCTGAGACTTTAGAAAGAGTACAGAGAAGAGCAAGAAAGATGATCAGGGGACTGGAGGCTAAAGCATATAAGGAACGGCTGCTGGAATTGGGGATGTCTAGTTTAATGAAGAGAAGGACGAGGGGGGACAGGATAGCAGTCTTCCAGTATTTGAGGAGCTGCCCCAAAGAAGAGGGAGTCAAACTCTTCTCCAAGGCGCCTGAAGGCAGGACGAGAAGCAATGGGTGGAAACTCATCAAGGAGAGAAGCAACCTAGAACTAAGGAGAAACTTCCTGACAGTGAGGACAATTAACCAGTGGAACAACCTGCCTCCAGAAGCTGTGGGTGCTCCAACACTGGAAGTTTTTAAGAAGAGACTGGACAGCCATTTGTCCGAAATGGTATAGGGTTTCCTGCCTGAGCAGGGGGTTGGACTAGAAGACCTCCAAGGTCCCTTCCAACTTTTGTATTATTATTATTATTATTATTATTATTATTATTATTATTATTATTATTATTATTAGTAGTAGTAGTAGTAGTAGTAGTAGTAGTAGTAGTAGTAGTACATGCCAGTTGCCAAGCGACTGAGTTTGGATCGTGTCGCCACGGAGATGCTGCGAGGGTCGTAAGTGTGAAACCGGGTCATAAGTCAGCGTGGCTGTAACTTGGAACGGTCACTAAAGAAATGCTTGTGAGTTGAGGACCAGCTGCATGCTCTCCTGGAGTTGCAGCCACATGCAGCTGGGGGATCCTTCGGCTGGAGACCCTCCTCCCCCACAAGGACAGAGATGGAATACAGATAGTCCTCGACTTACGACAGTTCACTTAGTGACCAAAGTCACAACGGCACTGAAAAAAGGGACTTATGACCATTTTTTCCACTCTTAACGACTGTCATAGCATCTCTGCGGTCCTGTGATCAAAATTCAAATGATTGGCAACTGGCATGTACTTGTGACAGTTGCAGTGTCCTGGGGTGTGTGTGTGTGTGTGTGTCACGCAACCCCCTTTTGTGACCTTCCGACGAGCAAAGTCGAGGGGGAAGCCCGGTTCACTTAGGAACTGTGTTACTAACTTAGCCACTGCATCGACTTGCTTAACGACTCTGCCAAGGAAGGTCGTAAAATGGGACCAAGCTCGCTTAACTGCCGTCTCGCCTAGCAATGGAAATTTGGGGCTCCGCTGTGGTCGTAAGCCGAGGACCGCCTGGGAATAACAATAAATTCCCTTTTAGGAAAGGCAAAAACACAGAAGGACCAAAAGCGTCCGTCACAAGTCAAGGACTGCTTGCATGCATGCAACACAATGCAGTAAACTCTCCTGATCACTTTTTGGTGGGTTTTTTCTCTCTCTCTCTCTGTCTCTGGGTGTATCAAGTAACTTTCTATTTTGTGCAGGTGTTGGAGAAGGACGAGAGCGAGGCTGACCCTTCCGAGGATTTCATCCCCGTCATCTTGTATGACTCGCTCCAATCCGAATTCGAGAAGCTGAAAGCACAGCAGCTGGAGACTCAGGAGCTGCTGAAGTCCCTGGAAAGCCAGGGGACCGATGGAAGCCCGCCTAAATTCATCTCGGCGGAGGCTTACGAAGAACGGCTGAAGGACGATTACGAGAAGCAAATCGCAGCCCTTAAGGAAGCCTTGGAGAAGATCAACTGCCCGGGTGATCCGATCGGGCTGAACCAAGCGACGGAAAGCGAAGCTGACGTAGAGCCGGAAGGAACAAGCAACGTCAAGAGAGGGAGGAGAGAAGAGACGGAGGAGCTGACGAAGGAACTGAGAGAGACCCAGGAGAAATATCAGGCAGCTTTGGCAGAAGTGAAGCTTCTTGAAGACCAGATTGAGCTGGGCATCTTGTCCGTAGAGGACAATGAAGCCGCCGAGAGTTCCAGAATTGAACTCGAGACGGTGAAGGCTGCTCTGCACCAGACTGGGGAGGAGCTGAAGGAACGAGACCAGAAGGTGAAGGATTTGGAAGAGCTGCTCAGGGTTCGAGAAGAAAGGGCCCCCCAAAACTGCTCCGCTGAGGCCTGCGAGGAGATAAAAGCCACCCTTGGTGCCTCCTTGGATGCGGTGTCCCAGGAGAAAGAGGATCTTCTCCAGAGATGTACCTCTGCGGAAACGGAGCTAAGAGAACTGAAGGCCTCCTTGGAGAAGGAGGAGAAGGAGAAGGAGGAGGAGGAGGAGGAGGAGAACAGCCACCAGATGCTTGAAGAAAGGTCTTCCATCAGCCAGGCCCACCAGGAGGAGACCAGCAAGCTGCGAGAAGAGCTGGAAGCCATGACTAAGCGACACCAAGAAATGAAGGCTCATGTCGAGGAGCTCCGAGAAGGCCGGGAGAAGCTGGAAGAGGAGCTTCAAGCAACCAAGGAGATCTTGGCCTCTGAGTACGTCCCTAGAGCGGAGCACGAAGACACGGTGGAGAAGCTGAAGGCCGCCTTCTCCGATGCCGAAGAGAGGCTGCTGGAGATGAAAGAGAAGTACACCTCCACCCGGACCGAGCTGGCGGAACTTCAGAAGACCACCGAGGTCTACAGGCGAGAGTCGATGCCCCTGGCCGAGCACGCCCGGGCCAAGGAGGCCTTGGAAGGCACCTTGTGGGAGTTGAAGGCCAAAGCAAAGCTGGTGGAGCAGGAGCTGAGAGCCAAAGCTCGGGAGGCCTCTCAACTCCAGGCGGACCTGGACGAGTTCCATCGAGGCGCTGTCTCCAAGGAGGCCCACGAGCAGCTGAGGGCCACCTCGCAGGCCGAAATCGAGGCCCTGAGGGCCAAGCTGAGCGACCTGGGCTGCAAGCACGAGCGGACCTGCACCGAAGTCTTCCAGGTGCAGCGGGAGGCCCTCTTCATGAAGAGCGAGAAGCAGGCCGCCGAGGCCCAGCTAGCCAGCGCCGAGAAGCAGCTGCAGAGCCTGCGGGCCGAGTCCGAACATCTCCAGGAGCTACACAACCACATCGAGGACTCGGCCAAGCTGCTCAAAGAGAAAGACCAGAAGGTGAGTCACGTTTTGGTTTGTCCGAAAAGATGGATTTGTCCTATCACATCCAGTTTTGGTCACCACGATGTAAAAAAGATGCTGAGACTCTAGAAAGAGTGCAGAGAAGAGCAACAAAGAGGATCAGGGGACTGGAAGCTAAAACATATAAGGAACGGTTGCTGGAATTGGGGATGTCTAGTCCAAGGGTGTCAAACTCAATTTCATTGAGGGCCGCATCAGCATTGTGGCTGCCCTCGGGGGGCTGGGTGGGTGTGGCCTACTGGGTGGGCGTGGATGGAGTGGGTGTGGCCTACTGGGTGGGCATGGCCAGCTCTACATCGTTCGCGTCAAGGGTGCCTGTGGGGGCCTGGGCAGGAGTGGGACAGATCTGAGGGTCTCTGGCAGAAGGGGGTGGGACCGGGGCAAGCGCCAAGGCATGGTCCATTTCTTCATTCCTCACAAAGGGTGACCCCTCCCCAGCATGCACCCAGGGGGCGGGGCCGACGCGGCAGGAGCTGGTTCCTCGCTGTTTCCGGACGGCCTTGTGGAGCTAAGACTGAATGCGTTTCAGCATAGATGGCCACCACAAAATTGTACATTGGCTCCTGGCCGGCCTGGGCCAGGGCCAAGGCAGCGGGGGCCATTCCCTCACTGTTTCCAGGATGGCTTCACGGGCCACATGGAACCACTTCGCGGGCCGCATCCAGCCCCCGGGCCTTGTGTTTGACATGTCTGGTCTAGTTTAATGAAGAGCAGGACCAGGGGGGACATGATGGCAGTCTTCCAGTATCTCAGGGGTTGCCCCAAAGAAGAGGGAGTCAAGCTATTCTCCAAAGCGCCTGAAGGCAGGACGAGAAGCAACGGATGGAAACTCATCAAGGAGAGAAGCAATCTAGAAATGAGGAATTTCCTGACAGTGAGAACCATTAATCAGTGGAACGGCTTGCCTCCAGAAGTTGTGGGTGTTCCAACACTACAGGTTTTTAAGAAGAAATTGGACAACCGTTTTTCTGAAATGGTATATGGAGTCTCCTGCTTGAGCAGGGGGTTGGACTAGAAGACCTCCAAGATCCCTCGCAACTCTGTTATTCCGTTATTCTCAGAGTTGGAAGGGGCCTTGGAGATCTTCTAGTCCAACCCCCTACTCAAGCAGGAAATCCTACACCATTCCAGACAAATGGTTGCCCAGGCCTTTCTTAAAAGCCTCCAGTGTTGGTGTACCCACAAAGTTTGGAAGCAAGTCGTTCCACTTGTTAATTGTTCTCCCTGCCAGGTTAGTCCGAGAGAATCTTTTCCGGATCTTCTTTGCTATCTCCTCTGCACGGAGAAATGTATAGGGTTTCCTGCCTAAGCAGGGGGTTGGACTAGATGACCTCCAAGGTCCCTTCCAACTTTTTTTTTTTTTTATTATTATTATTATTATTATTATTATTATTATTATTATTAATCATCGCACAGTCAGCCAGATGTTCAGACTGGATTTGGCATTTTTGTCTACCTATCGAGTCCTTCCCAAGGACCTGGGATAGGCAGATGTGGATGTTTGATCTGGGATAGGCTATTATTATTATTATTATTATTATTATTATTATTATTATTATTATTATTATTATTATTATTATTATTATTATTATTATTATTATTATTATTATACCAGTAATTCTTCATCTAAGGTTTGATTGCACACTTTGGATATGTAATTTAAGAGGAATTAACTTCTTAATTCTGGCTTTGTAGGTGTTACCGTCAGTGTCTGAAATTAGGCATTTTATAGAACGCCTAGGAAATTATAGAATGGCAAAAATGGAAAGTCAAATTATGAAAAATATTTCACACGTTTCCTAGACTTTCCATGCAAACTGGCAAAATATATAAAATAGTCCAGCTCAAATGTCATTTTAGCCTTCCTTGTTGCAACATATAAGTCAATGATGGAAAAAAAAAGTAAGGTTCTACATTTAGGCAAGAAAAACCAAATGCACAGGTATAGTAGTATACTATTCAGGATAAATGGCTGTCCGGTCTATTCTTAAAAACCACCAGGGTTTTTTTCCCTTCCGAATGATATATTCTGTGATTTATGGTTACATTTTATGAGCTGTTCAGTCATACGGCTTGGAGTGGCCTAAAAAACCAAAATCAATCAACCAATCAATATGCAGAACATTGAGCTAAAACCAGAACTCTTTTTGCTGGGTATCACTAAAGACAGATACTTATTTCCTAGGAATATGGATAATAATGTGTACGATTGTCGTCGTTCTAATCAGAAACGTGTCTCTACCTTTCTGTCTTCTTCTCCATTATTTATTCTAAAATAGGGCACGACTTTACCTATCCAACTGCAATCTTGAATTCCTATTCTCACTTTGTCTAATGATGTTTTAGACCTTGTTTAACATACTAACCAACCCCAAAAATAGAGGGAAAAACGCTCCGATTCAGCGAAACACATTGATCAAGCATGATACTGATTAAAGGGAAAATATTTAAATATTAAAGTGAAAATTAAGAAAAAAGAAACATTTGTGTGAATAGGTGAATTATGGATTATAGATATTAATTGTTGACGATTTTCCTTTTGTAAATGTAAGCCAGGCAAACACACTGTTAATCACCTATTATGTGATTTATGTTTTAAAAACCAATAAAGTTTAAAAAAACAATATCAACCAATCAATATGGATTGAATATAGAACTGAGCATTTTGAAAGAAATGCGCCGAGGGAGCTGAAATGGTATAGGGTTTCCTGGCTGAGCAGGGGGTTGGACTAGATGACCTCCAAGGTCAAAAGCCAACACAGTGCTAGGCTGCATTAACAGAGGGATAGAATCAAGATCACATGAAGTATTAATACCACTTTACAAGGCCTTGGTAAGGCCACACTTGGAATACTGCATCCAGTTTTGGTCACCACGATGTAAAAAAAGATGCTGAGACTCTAGAAAGAGTGCAGAGAAGAGCAACAAAGATGATTAGAGGTCTGGAGGCTAAAACATATAAGGAACGGTGGCTGGAATTGGTTGTGTCTAGTTTAACGAAGAGAAGGACGAGGGGGGACATGATAGCAGTCTTCCAGTATCTCAGGGGCTGCCCCAAAGAAGAGGGAGTCAAGCTATTCTCCAAGGCGCCTGAAGGCAGGACGAGAAGCAACGGGTGGAAACTAACCAAGGAGAGAAGCAACCTGGAACTAAGGAAAAACGTCCTGACAGTGAGAACAATTAACCAGTGGAACTACCTGCCTCCAGAAGCGGTGAATGCTCCAACACTGGAAGATTTTAAGAAGAAACTGGACAGCCATTTCTCCGAAATGGTATAGGATTTCCTGCCTGAGCAGGAGGTTGGACTAGATGACCTCTAAGGTCCCTTCCAACTTTATCATCATCATCATCATCATCATCATCATCATCATCATCATCATCATCATCATCATCATGTACATTTCCACCCCAGGCCACCCCAACGATGCCCTTGACGTGATGACCCGTTGCCTGGAGGCCGTACGGGTCTGGATGGGGAGGAACAGACTCAGGCTCAACCCTTCCAAGACTGAGTGGCTGTGGCTGCCGGCGCCTCGGCATAGTCAGCTGACCCCATCGCTGACTATAGGGGGCGAAATTTTGGCCCCCTCAGA